TACTCAAGGCACCCACTAGCTGCGTTGACTAGTTGACTAGCTGCTATAACGCCTTTTTGGATGCAAGAATTAATTATTACAAGAGAATACAAAGCATACCCTGTCCCTGGCCCGGGCTTGTCACATTGAAACGAAAAACATTTCGTCAGCCAAAAAACAAATTCCAGAAGAATAATTTGATAGCGGATAGCGGATAGCGCACAGCGCACCTCCAAAAAATCACCATAAAAGAATCAAGCCCTATAATCAACCAAGTGAATCGAAAGAGGCACGGGCTTTCAAATGACAAGTGCCTTGAAACACGTCTCATCATTAGAATCCAATAGCTAAGCTGCAGCTACCAGCTACAGCTCATAATAATAATAATCATCATAATATTTAATAATACAGTTACAGTTACTCAGTAACTGGATTCAAAACAACTGTGCCTAACTGTGCCAAATCTTTGGGGACGCAGGGCCTGGCCTTGACTTGCGCACGAAGCCTGGCACATTTTCCAGGACGACCAAGAGTGGCTCTTCTTGGCGTACGGCCGTGCCAACATCCTTCATGGTTTCGCTTTCCTTGTGAGCTTGCCACCCGCCCTCCGCCCAACGAGCAGGGCGTTGAGTGCTGAATGGAGCGCACGGAAATCCTGCCACAAAAAGGTGAGATCTGCCAATGGGTACTTGAACATGGGCAGCATGAAGAGAGCACCAACCTTCTCTTTGTAAGATGTCCTTCACGGTCTGGAAGTGGTAGAGCGGGCCATGCATGCGATCGCAGTTGTGAAGCATTGTGGTCACTGCTCTCTTGGGGTCAGCAGAGAAAACTTCCAAGACTGGCACGCCCATCCAACACAAAGCGTGCTTGGGTGCTCCGGTTCCACTGCAGACAGTGCTCATCCTCAACGTCTTCTTCCAAGTCACACCTTTCAATTTCTTTTGGAAGAATTTCAAAAGCGGCTTGACCCAGGCTAAGATTGGCTTGTCTTGCACATTGCCTTCATCAAAGCAAGGAGGTGACAGACCCTTCGGGGCAGTCTGCAGCAAATTCTTCAATGCCTCCGGTTCCTTGATCTGTGACAGAATCTGTGATTCATTCAAATCAAAGTCAGAAACACCATCCTTCTGGCCATCTGCACATTGGTCTTGCTTCTGGACGGGGCCTGGTTTCGACAAGCCGAAGCCCAAGCATGCTCGTTTGGAAGGGCGTGGTGAACTCTCCCAAAGAGTTGAATCACTTGTAAAATCTTGCTCACTTCCATCATCAGCTGCATTCTGTAAGCAAAGCCCTGTCTGGGGCACTGGCTCTTGAGACTCTTGAGACTCATCAAACAATGAGAGCGAAAGAGGAACTGGCAAGCCAGTGTTCACATCAAGCGTCTCTTCGCTGGAGTCACCCGGGGAAGGAATGGCAGCAACGGCTGCTTCTGATTCTGCCATGTCCATGGTCTCAGCATCAACTTCCATCTGGACCCTTCTTGGGTTGCTATGGCTTTGCTTTGCCGCAGTTCACTGCAGGGCTGCTACAGTGGCGTGAGTTCCAATGGTCCAATGTGTCAAGTTTGACATTACATGACATGATATGACATGATTTTGCAGCTGCAACTTGAGAAACTGATGAATGACACGTCACTGTCACTGTGGGAGCGTGTCTGTTTTTTGAACCCTTGGGTCATTGAATCAGAATGAGCCTTGCGGCAAAACAAGTGTCAGTGAACATGAGCGCATGGGCCATGTCATAGCATTGAGCTAAAACAAACACTCGCAAGAATTCACAAGAACCGAAAGAATTATCGGCTACCAAACTTGCAGCGCAATGTCTTTTGTGATCACCACAGCATAGACTCCATAGACTGACTCTGGCCGCTAGACTCATGTCATAATATTAATAATATATATATTATATATATTTATATTATATATATATATTATATTTATATATATTATATATATATATTTATTTATTTATTTATATAGTCATGGACTGAAACTTAGAATGAGGGAACCGTTTCCAAACGACGATACCCCGAACTTAGAATGACTGACTGAAAAAATGGCCCCCTGAGTAGCAACTTAGAATGACTCCGCAGTTAGAATCACTGAAAACCAAAAAAAAGAAAAACGTGGAAAAACATAGTGTTTTGGGAGATTTCGGACAGCTTATGGAGATGCTTTGGATTCCACTGATTAGCCAAATTGGCAGAAATCATCAAAACATGTGGAAAAATTCAGTGTTTTGCAAGATCCCTGACAACGGGCCCAAGTTAGACCCAAAGTTGCCCAACATTGGACCCACATAGCCGCAAAACGGTCTTAGAAAATAACCTCAACCGAAAAGTTTTCGGTTGGGGTTATTGTTTCCCCCACATACACCACCAAATCGCCCAACACGGGCCCAAGTTAGACCCCATTTTGCCCAACATGGGCCCAAGTTGCCCAACATGGGCCCAAGTTAGACCCCAAGTTGCCCAACATGGGCCCAAGTTCGACCGCAAGTTGCCCAACATGGATGAAGAACAGATGACAATGGATGAATATTGAATATGGCATTGGTGCAGAATGGATGAAGAATGGATGAAAAACGGCTGGAAAAATGCGTGGAAATGACTTTAAAAAAAAAGATAGAAGATGTTCAAAAAAATCATGTTCGAAGGCTTTTGGACTACCTTCCACAAAAAACAGCACTTGGGAGCCAAACTTGGAATGACACGTAATTTTGCTATTTTGGGCGATTTTTTTTTGAAAATCAGCTGTGCGTCAGCTGTGCGCCAAAACCCATTCTATGTTCCGTGTCCCAGACCCGTTTTGACTGACAGGCACGGTGTTTCGTAACATGTCAGTTACTCATTCTAAGTTCTCCAAACGAAAAAGAGTCCAAAAACTGGAATTTTGCCGGGTACGTCAATACGTGATTTTTTCGGATACCCCGGCGGTTTCCAAAAGGTCATTCTATGTTTCAGCCCGCTACTATATATCTATCTATCCATCCATCCATCTATCTATCTATCTACATCTATCTGCTATCTATCTATCTATCTATTTATCTATCTATCTATCTATTTATCTATCCATCTATTTATTTATCTATCTATCTATCTATCTGTTGCAAATTCGAAGTCGGGTCCCGTCATGGGTACAGTCTTGGCTCTTGGTTCTTGAGGGGCGGGCCTTGAGTCGCATTCACAATTTGGGCTGGCCTCAAGAGAATTTGCAGCTTGGAACCACATAACTAACATATATATATTAAGTTGCTAATGCACTGGTGGTAGGCCCTGGGCTCTGGACCATGACGACGGCAGACCCAGGCCATTGCCTTCCTGCACATCAAAGAATTTCCATCCCAAAAGCACAAACATATTGATAGACTTGAATAAAGACACTTTTTTCTTCTGTAGCAGTTTACTTGCTATATAATCACTTACTAGTTACTAGTTACTAGTTACTAGCAGAGAAGCTACCAGCTTACTAGCTGCTAGCTGCTAGCTAGCTGCTAGCTAGCTGCTAGCTAGCTGCTAGCTGCTGCTACTGCTACCGGTGCAAGAGCCGCAAAAAACACTGCAAACATCACACATCAATGCACACAATCTTCGCAACTCGAGCAGCAAAGGCCTTCTCACTAAGGCCTTCTCGCAAAGACTCGAACAATGGCCAATGACCTCTTGACGAACCCAGGTTCCGAAATCAGCAAGAATAGAATGAATGAGCCGAGCATAGTCGAGTTGAATAGTGAATAGAGATAGACTTCTAAAGGGTAGTGCGGCAGCAAGATAACAAGATTCAATTTCAACAGCAGGCCCCCTATTCTGATTCTGCTCATTCTCTTGATCTGCGGGTCAACTGCACTGCTTCTGCTTCTGTTACTCAAATTCAAGGTTCAAGTAATGCTCTGCTGCTACAGCAATCCCAAAAAAGATTTGGTGACAGCACGAACACTCACTATCAATCACTAACCGACCTAACGATGACGAATCGAATTCCCGTGAAACAGCAGTCAAGTCACTTATAAATATTATAAAGCCACTTAAAAAGTAAACGCCAAGGTACAAAGAGATGGCCCCGAAGTCGGATTGAACCATGAATCAAAGCCCTGGCCATGGTCTTTTTACACATTATGACAGCGACACTTCCACTTGATTGAAGCGCCCACGAAAAGAAACACGCACCACAGCGTCAAGTCAAGTCAAGTCAACTGCCACTACGCCGACGCCTGAAGAATTCACAAATTTCATGGGCAATGGCAAAGCTGCAGACCTGGATTCGGACTCACTGTAGAATCTAGAAAGTCAAGGGCCAAGCACGAATGAACTCCTGGAAACGTCCCATACATTGAAATGAGCGAAGACACCTTGACCTTGTCAAGTCAAGTCAAACAAACCGTCGAGGAGTCAAACCTTCACCTTTCAGTCAGATTAAAAATCAAAGCTGCTCTTCAAGTTCCTGGCGCACATTATCTTTTGATGACTCAGCCTCACGCAGGCATTACGTTGCTTGTCAAAGTCAAGAGTCAAGAGTCAAGAGCAACAAACAGTACAATGACAATGACTTGGCTTGGGCTTGGAAGAATCAGAGTGAACAGCAGGGCCTTGGATTGTCGGATTGTCGGATTGTCAACCTTTTCAATCCCACTCGCCATCCCAAAACTTTTTCATCCAGAATCCAGAGCATTCACATGCAGCATGCAAAGACTCGTAACTCGTACCGATCGTAGGCTTCCTGACTTTGCGACTTGAGTGACTTGAATCAGATCAATAAATGGCTGCTCAGTAAAGAAAGAAAGAAAGATTCCTATCGGTCCTATCAGGTCCTATCAGATCCTATCAGATCATTTATCATTTATATTTGGTCATTTGGTTGATCAGAGAAGTATCTGGAGTTAAATTTTGCAATCGTAGAAATCGTTGTCGTTGTCATCACATGACATATTCGAGTCACTGCAAGTCACCGAGTGGGTTGCGACGGTTGTGGGCCTCGACCACAACAAAAACTCAGCTAAGCCTGCTGGGCCCCTGGGCCTAACTAACTAGTGACTGGTCCTGGACAACAGTGCCGGTTTTCTTGAACCCACTCCTTTGGTTTTTTGTCTGTATCACCAAAGATAGTCACCACACGACGGCGGAACTTAGGGTACTTGTGGCCCCATGTGATTCCATCATCCTCTTTCACTCGCATGAACCATGTTTTTGGATCTCGCCCTGCAGGGCCTGGATCCAATTTGATCTGGCCTGCCACTTTGCCGCACTGGCTGCAAACTACATCGGTCCATGTGCCCACATAATCTCTGCTTGTGCGGGGTTGGGCCGGGTGCGCAGCAACATCTGCAGGAACGGCTTGAGAGCCTCCTCCAAAGCGAGCTCCAGGCAATAACATCTCCAAAGGAGTATCATCTGGAACTTCCGCTGGCTGCGGTTGTTCTTTCGAACCACTACTGGGCTCCAAAGGCGGCGCGTCTGCAATGTTTGGGGGGCCAGAGTCGGCTGCGGCTGCAGCATGATGACTTGGATTCATATCGTCCTCTACTTCCGCAGCCTCGTTGCAAAAGTAGTCCCACAGGAAGTCATCCACATCATTCCCAGGATTGCAGTCATCGTCGGGAAAAGACCATGGATCAAAATCATCACCCTCAGCTTCGTCCAAGTCCAAGTCCAAGTCAGCCATTGCTGGATCTTTGGCCTGTTCGTCTCGACTTTTATTCGGACCCCGCTGCTTGGCTGGAATGTGTTCAGGCTGCCTACTCTGACCAGACTCAGTAGGTTCATCTTCCAGGTCAAAAAGCGTAGCCGCTAAACCTGCCTGCTTGTTGTTTTTGCTCCTGCTGGTGGCTGGTCTGCTCGAAGGCCTGCTGCGCTTGTACGCTGCTGCACCCTGCCACGCAACATAAGGAGGCATTCCTTTCTTCTTCTCCACTTGAATCTGGCCAGCGTTGAGTACCCCAACAATTCTTTCTGAATCGGCCAACTCGTAAATGTGAATAGACCATTACTTGTCGATGTCCAATTTGCAAAGCAACTCAGTGTAGTCGCAAAAAGGAGACCCAAAAGCACGACCTAAGTGCAACTCAGCTTTCTCAGGCCAGACCAAACCGTCATCTGTTTCAACCACGCCTGACTCTGGAAGATGCAAGGCCATACGGGTGAACAACGGGTGAAATTGCTGCAAGCCGCCCAACACATGGCTGATGTGTAGCCACAAGAACTCGTGTTTCACTTCCTCCTGTTGCTCACTGTGTCCGGAAGGTGAGCCAACGGTTTCACCATGGAGCGCCACAACCCAAAACCCATTGGACAATCCAAACATTTGCTGCTTGTAGATGTTGCCTTTGCCGTCTGCAGCTGCACCTTTGTTTTGGCTTTGGCAAATGTCCCGAAAGGCGCGCGTCAAATGCGCTTTCAATGCAGTGAAATTGTTATCCTTGCAAAGAGGCACTCCAGCACATCTGCATTTCTTGTGAACATCCTTGCCGACCTCTGGGCACTCGAGACCTTTGTCCACCACCAGATGGAAATCCTGCCAAAATTCATCCAAGGCCAGAGCTTTCTTTTTCACATCGTCATCACAAGATGTGAAGTTTTGTTCCACTTGCTGCCAGGCACACTGCATGGAGGCAGAGCTTAAATCCAAGCATGCACAGGTTCTGCTTTTAGGAACCAGAGGGGTCATTTCAAGCAAAGGCTGCCCTTCTCCCAAAGAGAAACTCAAAGTCCGCTGCTGCTTTGCTGTGGGGGACGCAGTCGACACAATGGGGATGGTCTCGCAGGCCTCACATTCACAGTTTCAAAATCTTATCAGTTTGTCACAGGCTCTACAGAATAGACATTCGTATAGTATAGCAGTATAGTCTAGAATGGGGGCCTAACTCATATCTGTCAACGTTGATAGATCAGATGTTGCGACATCTGTGCCATGTGAATTGAAAATCCAGGGTTCGAAAATCGAGTTTGAGCTAAGAAAGCCAATGATGTTGGAGTGGCAGTTGAAGGTTTAGAGCGTCTGAGTAAATATAAATTGTGTAATAGTTTAGGCCAAGTCCAAGGTCCTAGGTCGAGTCTAGTCTAGTCTAGAGTCGAGAGTTGAGTCTAGTCTAGTCAGTCAACACAAGACAGTCTGGCCAAGTCAGAAGTTCAATCCGAAGCACGGATGGTCTTTCCATCATCACCTGCATGCCGGCCAAAGTTGGCACCATCTCGGATAGATGGCTGGGCTCGATGTCTTGTAGGCTTGCTTGGATCGATTTTTTCTGTTCGCATTGAGCCTTGCTGTCGCAAGCACGCCTCAACTGTTTCAGAGCCTGGGAAGATGGGCGAAGTGCCAGTTCACAGCCTGCTGCGACGCTAGCAGCGGGCATCTCCAATGCTTTCTGCGCCTTAGATTTTTGCCGTGGAGGCTTCACAAAAGCACCAGTTTGTTGCTAGTTACTAGTTTCGCCAACCCAGTAACCACTGAAAGAATCATGTTCTTAAAGCTGAAAGTAATTAGTATTTTAGTTAAAAGTAAATAGCTAATCCCTGATTCTATTTGCTGAAGTATGATTTTACTGATTCAGGGATTAGCTATTTACTTTCCAAGCTCTTGCATCTTCATTCAAGAATCATCCATTACAGGTCTAGATTCTAGATTCAATATTCCATCTCAGCTATGATTATGTCTAATGTATGCTGCTATGGCTGTGATTTTATGTACAGTACAGGTACTACAGTGACTACAGTGTCTAGAGTCTAGAGTCTAGTCACAGTCTAGTCTAGAGTTTAGAGTCTACAGTCTACAGCGTATTAATTTATATGACTCGCATTTTCACAGCACCCAAATAAAACGACCGAGGTGCTCGTTTTGATGCCAGGTCTTTCCGCTTCCTCTCCTTGCTCAGCAACTTCATGCCCCCGTGTTTCCTTGCCTGGGCCACTGCAAATGCTTTGTCTTTGAGCCTTTGGAATTCCTCTGGAGGCAAGGTTTTGTATTCAGCAGACAGCTGTCTCCTCCTTGCCCTTCCCTCAGCTGTTGTTGGCATAGGACACTTTCTTTCCGACAAAAAGACTGTCCAAGCCCCACCGCCTCTCGACAAAGAGGCTCCAGCTCCATGCTTGGCAAAGAACTTTTGGAAATTACCCGATTTGCGCTTCTTTTTGGGCACCGGTCCTCTCCGAGGAGTTTTTGGAAAGGCACCTTTCTGACCTGTGTTTCCCGCACCACCTCCAGGACATTTGGGATCTGCAAAACCGACAAATGCAGAAGCTCTCAAACCTCTGGCAACAAAGTGTGCCGATGCTTCCTCAAACGGAATCCGGTGCGTCTGGACACTCTTCCCAAGGACCAAGCGTCGGTTGCTGGCATGCTGGCACTCTGTACTGGCGATGTCAATGGCACAAGCTTTGGCAATGGCCCGCAGCTCTGCTAGCGGTTCAGGCGCAAGAAGACATTCAACGGTCATTGAACCATTGTCTACACAATGCTGCCGAATGAACCACTTCGTGAATGTATCTAGGATACAAGGACGTTCTGCGAAATCTGCCAAAGCTTTGATTGCAATGTCTTGTCGAACCACGTGCACAGGATCCAATAATCCAAAAAGCCGGTAAGGATACTTCATGTGGCGAAGAAACAAATAATGATGAGTTGCTGAAGCTGACCTCACCAACAACCGAAAAAGGCAATGGCTCTTCTGAACAGTGAGGGCCTCAACTGGAAGCACACTTGCAAAATCAAAGTTCAGAAAATGCAAATGCTCAGAAATGCAATCCGTGGCCGCTTGGTTCTGGAAGCACCACAGCATCCGATATTGCCTACGACCAGAAGTGAGTTCACTCAAATGCTCTTCCTGATCCCAGTTCGACGAAGAAATCTTGAGATGCTTGGCCATTAGGGTGCCTTGGGGGTTGATTGTGAGCCTGGAAAAAACCATCAGCACTGCAAGGTTATTCAGTTGACCCCACTCAAGGGTGACCTTTCTCCATTGTTTGTAGATCTGCTTGAAATCATCTGCATTGGTACCGCCAGAGTCCCCAGCACCCTGGTCCACAGGAAGCACCACAGCCAAGTCAGTCACGCTTTCCTCTTGTCGAACCTGGCCATTGAGAAGCGTGTGGAGGATCGGCTTGAGCATTTGGTGGCATACCGCAAATTTGGCAAACCAGTCTATGCAAACATCAGCGCCAAGCCATTTGTGCCGGGGAAACACTTTTGGCCCTGCGCGCACAAAACACGGAAGCAGTTCCATAGTTTTTTCAAGAGTGTGCTCCTTGCTTTCGCAACATCCATTACAATAATGGATCAATTCCCTGGATTGCCAATCACCATTGAACACACTGTTGAGCTGAGCCTTTTTGCTTTCAGAAACGTCGCTGAAGAAAAGATCCAACATAAAGCTTCGATGGGCTGCAGGGTCTTGGCCGAAGCAAGCTGCTTCTCCGCGATGAATTTCCAAGTGATCAACCACATATTTCCTGAAAATTGATTTGAAGTCAGTCAGTGCGCCTCCTCGCAATGTCAGAGCGGCCTTTATTAGGCCACTTGTGAAAAAATCCAAATCATTCATCGCAAATACGCTCTTGGCAATTCCGTGCACTTTGTGAACATCACAAGTCACATGAAGGAGCCCAGAATCTAGCCCGGGGTGGTCTTTCTCTTCCTTCGCTTGAAGCATTCTCTCAGCCAGGTGGTTTGCAGCAAAGTCGTCTGTAGTGACAACGTTGAGGAGCCTTTTGAAACCAGAAGGGCCACGAATCTTTTCATCCCATTGTCTCTGAGAAGTTCGATGTAAAGCAGAAGCCATGATGTGCGCCTTGTTGCTTGCAAGAACCTGCAGTGGAGTTTGAACTTGCCCTTCCACAACAAATTGCTGTAACTTCTCACCATGTTCTGCCTTGGCCAAGAACAAGCTGTGCGTACGTTGTTCTGTCAAGAAAAGTTTACAGTTCTGAACCTGAGAACTGCCAATGCCTGACCGTCTGCGCTTGGGCGGCCTGGGCACAGCATCTTCAGCATCTTCCAAGGCTTGTCCCTGAGACTGAGAATCAACTGTTTGGGTTTGAGTCTGGGTATCTGCCTCAGGTCCGCTTGCTATTTTCAACTGGATTGGTGTTTCATCGTATTGCCTGATTCTCATATGCAGCTGTGGCATAATTGAAGGGGCTACCTCACTGTTCTGTGAATTGTCGCAAGCGGTAAGCAGCTTGCTCATGACAGCATCAGATATGCTGTCCTGGGATTTCACAGCACCTGCTGCCAAACGCTTCTGAGTTTGCATGATGAAATATCGGCTAAGACCGAACTCATCACCTATATGCACTGAAGAACTTCTCAACTTGTCGGACGTGAAAAAAGCGCAAGTCAGCTGTCTAAGTTTGCCCACTTCAGTTTCCACCTCAGAGCGATCTTGAGAACCTTGCTCAGCTTGAGGTTGGGGGGGATTGGACCACCGTCTCTTTCGATTTTCAGCTAATGTTTTCTGTTTGGCGGTGCCAGTCGCAATCTTTGGCTGCTGGTCAGGGTCAGAATTCTTTTTGGGGCGTCCTCGGCCTCTCTTGACTGGTGGAAACATAGCTGACTGGAGCACTGGAACTGAAGGTTCTTCATGAGCTGCAGCTCCTGGCTTGCCACAATCAAAGGACACCTGCGGTTCATCATCCCTGAACAAGTCTAGCGCCAGTACTGGTTCTGAAGGTTCAGGCTCAGACTGTTCAGGGTTAAAGATATCTGTGGTGGAGTATGCATTGGAAAATGCCTCGTCTCCAACAGGTAGTGGATCTGAGTCTTCGAAAAGACTAACTGCAGTCAATGCAGACATAACCACCCTGACTCACACAGGGGCCATGAAGCCGTCGAATCAAACCCATGCAGTCTAAAACTACGCACCAATATGTCAACTGCTGAACATGATGCGGCATTAAGTAAACAACAAGGATCTTGAAGGCCACGGTTATGATGATTGGATTCGATGATGGTGGGGGGCTTAAGTCTATATACAATATACAAGACCTATAGTCCTTTAGTAGACCTATAGTACTATAGATAGTAGGTCCTAGGGCCTAGGAGACAGAAATAGCCAGCGGGCCCTGCAAACTGTACTGCTACTGTCCTAGTCTGGTGTGTCTCACGTGGCTTGAAAGTAGACTTTAGAGGCTTGGGTCTTGAATCTTTATCCGATCCTGACAACTTTGAAGCTTGAACCTGATTCAACAAGTTTTGAGAAGCACACTGTGTCACTGTGCACATCGCAGGACAATGCGTCAATGAGCCAAATCTGTTTCAAATCACTTGCGCCAGTCCCAAGTCTGCGCCTGGGCGTAGTCAGACTTTGAGTGCTTGACTTGTCCATGCGCCTGACTGGCTCAAGTTGGCCATTACCAACACCACAAGCGAGTCAAAAGTAATACAATATGTGGGAAATAAGGCATCAACATGAAAGTATACGAAAATTCCCGACAGAGTATCGGCTGTCAGTGTTGCAGAACCTGACCTGCGGCAAGGCAAAAGAACCATCACGCCGCCACTTATGGCGCTGCCGGTTTGGGGCAACCGAAGAACGATACTCAGATACTTCTGCCGTACAGCATCTCACTCAAATCAAACCCAACAAACAAGCCTCAAAACAAACACCACGCGAT